TTTTCAGTACTGGGAATTGGATCTAGGACCTTCCTTGCATATGCTAGACAAGCCCTCTACAACTGACCTACACATGCAGCCTCCAATTTTTGTTTTTTAACTAGAAGAGTTCTTAATCCATCTACATTTATATAATTACTGTTACATATTAATTTATCTCTGCTTTCTATCTGTTCCACAGTATTTCTTTTCTGGTTTTATTTTTTTACCTTTTAATCCTCTGATGTTTTTTGGATTGATTAAACTTTTTTTTTCTTTAACCATATTTTTCTATGATTTTTGCAAAGAGCCCTGGTTCCTTTTATTTAATTCTTTTATGTTGACCTAAGCTATTTTATCATGCATCACCTAACTAGTCACCCAATAATGCCTAAAATTAATACCTTTTCCTTTTTCAGAATAACTGAAGGACCTTAGAATATTTTAATTCTGATCACCATTCTCTCCTTATGTGCCGTCATTAAGATTTTGTTTTTTTTGTTTTTAGTAATGGGGATCCAACCCAGAGCTTTGTACTTGCTAGGTAGGAGCTCTACCATTGAGCTACATTCCTAGCATAATTTTCTTTTTTAAAATCCGTAAATCATATATTATTTTTATCTTATAGATTTAGCCTTTATTTATTCATGTTTTCTTTTTTCTTCTTGTATCTTAAATCTCCTAACTCTAATCATTTTTATGTACCTAAAGCACATATTTCAAACCTTCTTTTAATAAGGATCTGTTTGTAGTAAATTCTAATTTGTTTGAAATTTTTTAAATTTTGCTTTAATTCTTTTTTACTGATTTAAAAAATTTTTATACATGACAGCAAAATGCATTACAATTTATATTACACATATAGAGCCCAATTTTTCATATCTCTGGTTATATACAAAGTATATTCACACCAATTCGTGTCTTCATACATGTACTTTGGATAATGATGTTCATCACATTCCACCATCATTTCTAACCCCATGCCCCCTCTCTTCCCCTCCCACCCCTTTATCGTATCTGGAGTTCGTCTATTCTTCCCATGCTCCCCCTCCCTACCCCACTATGAAATCAGTTTCTTTATATCAGAGAAAACATTCCGCATTTGTTTTTCTGGGATTGGCTAACTTCGCTTAGCATTATCTTCTCCAATGCCATCATTTACCTGCAAATGCCATGATTTTATTCCCTTTTATTGCTGAATAATATTCCATTGTATATATATGCCACATTTTTTTATTCATTCATCTACTGAAGGGTATCTAGGTTGGCTCCACAGTTTAGTTATTGTGAATTGTGCTGCTATAAACATTGATGTGGCTGTGTCCCTGTAGTATGCTGTTTTTAAATCCTTTGGGTATAGTCTGAGGAGAGGGATAGCTGGGTCAAATGGTGGTTCCATTCCCAATTTTCCAAGGAATCTCTATATTGCTTTCCATATGGGTTGCACCAATTTGTAGTCTCACCAGCAATGTATGAATGTACCTTTTTCTCCACATCCTTGCAAACATTTATTGTTGTTTGTCTTCATAATAGCTGCCATTCTGACAGTAGTGAGATGAAATTGTAGAGAAGTTTTGATTTGCATTTCTCTAATTGCTAGAGATGCTGAACATTTTTTTCATATATTTGTTGATTGATTGTATATCCTCTTCTGAGAAGTGTCTGTCCTTGGCCCATTTATTGATTGGGTTATTTGGGCTTTGTTTTTGGGTTTTGGGGGTTTTTTGTTATTTGTTTGTTTTGTTTAGCTTTTTGAGTTTTTTTTTTTTTAATATACCCTAGGAATTAGTGCTCTATGAGGAATGCCATTGGGATTTTGATTGGAATTGCATTAAATTTGTATAGTGTTTTTGGTAGTATGATCATTTTGATAATATTAATTCTGCCTATCCAAGAGCAAGGTAGATCTTCTAAGGTCTTCTTTGATTTCTTTCTTTAGGGTTCTGTAGTTTTCATTGTATAGATCTTTCACCTCTTTTGTTAAGTTGATACCCAAGTATTTTTTTTTTTTTGAGGCTACTATAAATGGGGTAGTTTTCCTCGTTTCCCTTTCTGAGGATTTGCCACTGATATATAGAAATGCCTTTGATTTATGGGTGTTGATTTTCTATCCTGGTACTTTGCTGAATTTATTTACTAATTCTAGAAGTTTTCTGGTGGAGCTTTTTGGGTCTTCTAGATACAGAATCATATCGTTAGCAAATAGTGCTAATTTAAGTTCTTCTTTTCCTATCTGTATCCCTCTAATTTTTTTCATCTATCTAATTGCTCTGGCTAGTGTTTCAAGAACTATGTTAAGATATATGTTAAGATAGCTATTATGAAGACAAACAATAATAAGTGTTGACAAGGATGTGGGGGAAAAGGTACACTCATACATTGCTGGTGGGACTGCAAATTGGTGCAACCAATATGGAAAGCAGTATGGAGATTCCTTGGAAAACTGGGAATGGAACCACCATTTGACCCAGCTACCCCTCTCTTTGGTCTTTACCCAAAGTACTTAAAAACAACATACTACAGGGACATTCCCACAACAATGTTTATAGCAACACAATTCACAATAGCTAAACTGTGGAACCAACCTAGATATGCCCTTCAGGAGATGAATGGATTTCAAAAATGTGGCATATATTCACAATGGAATATTACTCAGCAATAAAAGAGAATAAAATCATGGCATTTGCAGGTAAATAGATGGCAATGGAGAAAATAATGCTAAGTGAAGTTAGCCAATCCTCCCCCCCAAAAAAACCCAAATACTGAAGGTTTTCTCCCATATAAGGTGAATGACCTACAATAGGGTAGGGAGGGGGAGCATGGGAGGAATAGATGAACTCTAGATAGGGCAGAGGGGTGGGAGGGGAAGGAAAGGGGTAGGGGGTTAGCAATGATGGTGAAATATGATAGACATCGTTATCCAAAGTACATGTATGAAGACATGAATTGGCATAAACATACTTTATATATAACCAGAGATATGAAAAATTGTGCTCTATGTGTGTAATAAGAATTGTCATGCATCCCACTGTCATGTATTTTTAAAATAAAATAAATATTTTTTAAAAAAGAGATTAGTGCTTTATCTGATGTGTGAGGGGTAAAAATTTGCTCCCAAGATGTAGGCTCTCTATTCACCTCATGGATTGTTTCTTTTGCTGAGAAGAAGCTTTTTAGTTTCAATCTATCCCATTTATTGATTCTTGATTTTAATTCTTGCACTACAGGAGTCTTTTAAGGAAGCTGGGGACTAATCCAACATGATGAAGATTAGGGCCTACTTCTTTTTCTACTAGATGCAGGGTCTCAGGTTTAATTTGTAGGTCCTTGATCAACTTTGAGTTGAGTTTTGTGCATGGTGAGAGATAGGGGTTTAATTTCATTTTGTTGCATATGGATATCCAGTTTTGCCAGCACCATTTGTTGAAGAAGCTATCTTTTCTCTAATGTATGTTTTTTGGCACCTTTGTCTAATATAAGATAATTGAAAATTTGTGGGTTAGTCTCTTTGTTCTCTATTCTGTACCATTGGTCTACCAGTCTGTTTTGGTGCGAATACTATGCTGTTTTTGTTACTATTGCTCTGTGGTATACTTTAAGGTCTGGTATAGTGATGCTACCTGCCTCACTCTTCCTGCTAAGGATGACTTTAGCTATTCTGGGTCTCTCATTTTTCCAGATGAATTTCATGACTGCTTTTCTATTTCTGTGAGGAATGCCATTGGGATTTTGATCAGAATGTCACTAAATCTGTACAGTGTTTTTGGTAGTATGGTCATTTTGACAATATTAATTCTGCAAGATAGATCTTTCCATCTTCTAAGTTCTTCTTTGATTTCTTTCTTTAGGGTTCTGTAGTTTTCCTTGTATAGATCTTTCACCTCTTTTGTTAAGTTGATTCCCAAGTATTTTATTTTTTTTAAGCTACTGTAAATGGAGTAGTTTTACTCATTTTCCTTTCAGAGGATTTGTCACTGATATACAGAAATGCCTTTGATTTATGGGTGTTGATTTTATATCTTACTACTTTGTTGAATTTATTTACTAATTCTAGAATTTTCTGGTGGACCTTTGGGGTCTTCTAGGTATAGAATCATTTTTTTTTATCTCCCACATTGACATTTATTACATTAATAACATTCTAGCAAAAACAAATAACAAGTTCAGTAACTGAATTCACATTGACAGGTTTCATTTTGATCCATTAAGCCAATTTGAGAAAAAAAAAGCCATATTGATCAAAGTGATGAAATTAAAAAGCACCTTTTCCTTGCTACATATTTTTAACTAAAACTCCAAACTGACATCAGATACAAAATCCAACTGCAGGATTGTTTTTGACTATGACATGGATTTGTGTCTTACATTTTTTAAATGTAGTCATTTATACACTTATTTAAGACCCATATGCTCTATTGGATAAGAAACTGAAAATACATCTGTGAGAATTATGATTCATAGTAAATGCCTATGTACTTACACACTGAATTCTCATGTCATTGAGAATCCTACCTACTCTAAACATCCTGAAATAAGTTATGACTCTCACCTTTTGGAAACATTTTTGGTACTTCAGTCAAGTGCTGAGGGAAATGTATTCTAAAATCTAGGGCTAGAATTCAAACTTCCAACACTCCCATACCTAGGTAACACAATTAGGAATACTCAGAAATCCAGATACCTCTTAGATCATCAACATTTCAGAGCTATGCCTGATAAATGACATCTGAAAAAGAATAATATAGAATTAGCTGAATTTATACTCCTGAAGCCACCTAAACTCTTCTTTAGGCTTTATATTTACAGTGCTATCCAGGAGAAATAAAAGAAAAAATTATTCAAGCTCTTATTTCAGATGTCTGCTTATAAAGAATTGTAGTTTATATCAAAGTGAACCATTATTCTCTAATACTACACTATACTACTGTTTGTAGCGCTACCAGTAAAATACATCAACCCAAATCTTATGAAGGCAGCACATCTTTAGGAGTAACTAGTATATATAAAAAGTATCAACATCAGTGGTTTGAATATAAAAATTTATTTTTTAAGTCAAAGTATGCAACAAATAAAACCTACAGAAAACAGATTTTCCCATCACAATCTGTGGCTTTACCAAATAATATTTTGAAAACACATTCCTTCAGTCATTATAAAGTTCTTAAAATACAAAAGAAATTAGATCTGTAAGAAAGTCTAGTAGACCAGATGCTGTTGTTAGGACTTGTATGTTGGCGATTATGTTTTCAGTACATCCCATGCCATCCACCTCCACTCATGCCACCTTGCCCATAGTAACCTCCACTGCCTCCACCACCACGGCCATAACCATCCAAGCCATCAGGAGTACCATATCCTCCACTATAATTGTTCCCCATTCCCATTCTTCCAACAGATCCATATCCTCCCTGATTATCCATTCCATCTCTGCCGTAGCCTCCCATTCCAGAACCTCCCATTCCAGAGCCACCTCCAGGGGTAGAATTCAAGAAGAGTTCAATGTACCGATGTTGCATGTTATTTTTATCTTTAGACATGGCAGCTACTGCATCTTCATGTGTCACAAACTCTACATCTGCTTCTCCTGTTGCTCTGCCATCAGCTCCAATATCAATATGAACGCGAATTGGATTTAGTGGTGAGAAGAAATTAGCAATATCATTTTCAGTTGCACAAAAAGGCAACCCTCTCATAAGTACAAAATGACCACCATGAAAACCTGAACTCGCATCACCAGCTCCACCATAGCCATGACCTCCCATACCTCTTCCATCTCTCATTCTGTCATCAAAGCCATCATTTCCATAGCCATAATTATTATAGCCACCATAGTCATCAAAACCTCCATAGCTTCCTCGCCCAGCTCTATAATAACCACCTCTTCCTCCTATTGGTCTATCATATGGTCCCGGTTGCTGTCCCAGCAATCTTCTTGGTGGGTCATAAAATCCTTTGATTTCACTCCTGCTACTTCTGAAGATCTCAATATACCCCCTTTTACTTCAGATACCCTGTCGAGCGATAGTAACGCGGACTCCCGTGCACGCGGAGTTCGGTCTTGAGGAGGGAAAAGTCGTTCGTCTCTCATAGCGCTCCTAACAACGGTTTTTCCAACCGTCTTTGGCAGCGGCAACCGCTAAGGAAGCTGCGCAGCACAGCAACTGGCTGGGGGGGCTCCTAGGTATAGAATCATATCGTCAACAAATAGTGCTAATTTAAGTTCTTCTTTTCCTATATGTAACCCTTTAATTTCTTTCATCTGTCTATACTCTGGCCAGTGTTTCAAGAAGTATGTTAAATAGAAGTGGTGAAGAGGGCATCCCTGTCTTGTTCCAGTTTTTATAGGGAATGCCTTCAATTTTTCTCCATTTAGAATGATGTTGGCCTGGGGCTTAGAGTAGATAGCCTTTATGATGTTGAGATATGTTCCTGTTATCCCTAGTTTTTCTGGTGTTTTGAACTTGAAGGGGTGCTGTATTTTGTCAAATACTTTTTCTGCATCTATTGAGATGATCATATGATTCTTACCTTTGAGTCTATTGATGTAATGAATTACATTTATTGATTTCCATAATTTGAACCAACCTTGCATCCCTGGAATGAATCCCACTTGATCATGGTACACTATCTTTTTGATATGTTTTTATATTCCATTTTCCAGAATTTTATTGAGAATGTTTGCATCTATATTCATTAGAAATATTGGTCTTAAGTTTTCTTTCTTTAATGTGTCTTTGCATTAAATCAGAGTGATATTGGCCTTAAAACGAGTTTGGAAGTGCTCCCTCTTTTTCTATTTTGGAATCAGAGTGATATTGGCCTCAATATGAGTTTGGAAGTGCTCCCTCTTTTTCTATTTCCTGAAATAAATTGTAGAGTATTGGTATTAGTTCTTCTTTAAAGGTCTTGTAGAACACGGCTGTGTATCCATCTGGTTCTGGGCTTTTCTTGGTTGGTAGGCTTCTAAGGGCATCTTCTATTTTATCACTTGATAGTGGTCTGTTTAAATTGTGTATATTTTCCTGATTCAATTTGGGCAAATCATATGATTTGAGAAATTTGTCAATTCCTTCAATATCTTCTATTTCATTGGAGTACAAATTTTCAAAATAATTTCTAATTATCCTCTGTATTTCTATAGTGTCTGTTGTGATATGACCTTTTTCATCACGTATGTTAGTAATTTGAGTTTTCTCTCTCCTTCTCTTCATTAATGTAACTAAGGGTTTGTCAATTTTATTTATTTTTTAAAAGAACCAACTTTTTGTTTTGTCAATTTTTTTCAATTGTTTCTGTTGTTTAGATTTCATCTCTAATTTTAATTATTTCCTGCCTTCTACTGCTTTTGCTGCTGATTTGTTCTTCTTTTTCTAGGGCCTTGAGATGTAATGTTAGGTCATTAATTTGTTGACTTTTTTTTTAAGGAATGAATTCCATGCAATGAACTTTCCTCTTAGTACTGTTTTCATAGTGTCCCAGAGATTTTGATATGTTGTGTCTATGTTCTCATTTACCTCTAATAATTTTTTTAATCTCCTCCTTAATGTCTTTTGCAACCCATTGTTCATTCAGTAGCATATTGTTTAGTCTCCAGGTGTTGGAGTAATTTTTATTTTTTATTTTGTCATTGATTTCTAATTTAATTCAATTATAATCTGATAAAATGCAGTGTGGTGTCTCTACTTTTTTTGTATTTGCTAAGAGCTGCTTTGTGGCATATTATATGCTCTATTTTAGAGAAGGATTCATGTGCTGCTGAGAAGAAAGTATATTTGCTTGATGAAGGATGATATATTCTATATATGTCAGTTAAGTCAAAGTTATTGATTGTATCATTGAGATCTGTAGTTTCTTTATTCAACTTTTGTTTGGAAGATCTATCCAGTAGTGAGAGAGGTATGCTAAAGTTGCCGAAAATTATTGTGTTGTGGTCTATTTGACTCTTTATAATTGTTATGTCTTGTTGGTGTATGATTCCCTTGAGCAGTATGAAATGTCCTTCCTTATCACTTTTGATTAACTTTGGCTTGAAGTCTACTTTATTTGATATGAGGATGGAAACCTCTGCTTGCTTCTGCAGTCCTTGTGAGTGGTATGATTTTTCCCAACATTCCACATTCAGTCTGTGTATGTCTTCTCCTATCAGATGAGTCTCCTGGAGGCAGCATATTGTTGGGTCTTTTTAAAAATCTAATCTGCTAGCCTATGTCTTTTGATTGGTGAGTTTAGGCCATTAACATTCAGGGTTATTATTGAGACATGGTTTGTATTCCCAGCCATATTTGTTTATTTTTGTTATTAACTTGACTTGTTTTCTTCTTTGTTTAGTTTTTCCTTTAGAGTACTACCTCCCTCTGCTGATTTTTTTTATTGTTTTTCATTTCTTCTTCATGGAATATTTTGCCAAGAATGTTTTGTAGTGCCAGTTTTCTAGCTGTAAATTCCTTTAACTTTTGTTTATCATGGAAGGTTTTTATTTCATCATCAATTCTAAAGTTTATTTTTGCTGGATATAAGATTCTTGGTTGGCATCCATTTTCTTTCAGAGCTTGTTGTATGATGCTCCAGGATCTTCTAGCTTTCAGGGTCTGTGTTAAAAAAATCTGCCGTTATCCTAATTGGTTTCCCCCTATATATAATCTGATTCCTTTCTCTTGTGGCTTTTAATATTCTCTCCTTATTCTAATGAAAATGTTGGGCATTTTCATTATAATGTGTCTTGGTATGGATCTGTTTTGATTTTGTACATTCGGCATCCTTCTTGAATTTGATTTTCCAATTCATTCTTCTTGTTTGGAATTTTTTCTGACATTATTTCATTGAATAGATTGTTCATTCCTTTGGTTTGGAACTCTCTGCCTTCCTCTATCCCAATAACTCTTAAATTTGGTCTTTTTATGCTATTCCATATAACTTGAATGTTCTGCTCATGGTTTTTTACCATTTTCACTGTGTGGTCTAAATTCTTTTCAAGATTATAAACTTTGTCTTGATGGTCTGATGTCCTATCTTCCAAGTGGTCTACTCTGTGGGTGTTGCTTTCAATTGAACTTTTAATTTGGTTTATTGTTTCTTTCATTTCAAGGATTTCTGGTTTTTGTTTTTTTTTTTTCAAGAACCTCTATCTCCCTGTTGATGTGATCTTTTGCTTCCTGTATTTGTTTATGTAGCTCCTTGACGAAATTATCTTTTGCTGCCTATATTTGCTCTCGTATATTTTCCTTCAGTTCATAAAACATTTTAATAATGTGCATCCTGATCTCCTTCTCTGTAATTTCTTCTGCTGTGGTTGCCATGGATTCTAATAATGTGGTATCTTGATTTGTTTGGTGCATTTTCTTCCCTTGTCTTTTCACATTGCTCGTTTGTCTTCTCTTCTAGTTCTGTGGGTCCAGGGTATTATTGCTTTTTTACCCTATAGATTTGTAGTGCTCCTGTAGGGTTCCAAAACTTCTCCTTTGTGGGGGATGGACAATGTTAACAGTTCCCAATATCAATAATATACCACCTATAAACAATTTGTTGTTATTAAGATGTTTACAGTTTGGTCACAATGTACAGAAATGTTGGAATTGATTATTATCTATAATATAATCAGTAGGTTTGTAAAAGGGTTTACAGTTTCTGATGGTGGACAATGCACTGGGGGTGAGGCGCAGGATGATATGCTGAGGAGGTAGGATGTGAGGATATAGAGTTAATATATCTTAGGAAGTGTGAAAGAGAAATGTTATGAAAAGGGTTAGTAGCAAGAGAATATACAAGAAGTAGTTTTGGATAGACAAGTATGTGGGAAGACAGTAGAGTACATAAAACAAACACACATATGTATTTAGAAAAAATAAAGGATGTTAAATAGTAAAAATTGGAGAGGAAAAGAAAAGTAAAAGAAGAAAAAAAGAGCATATACAACATCTCTATATTATATTATTCAGATGTCCCACAGTCCTCAAAATCCTAATTCATGCAAAGTCTAGGTTTTACATATGTTGGGGATGTGAGGGTGGGAGGATCGAAGGAGAGAAGAAAAAAAGAGAAAATTTAAAACCAGGGTTGTAGCTAGCTTTCGAGATCCGTATCTTTCCTGCTTCCCTTCTCATTCAATAGGTGGGGTTGTCTGTTGTAAGCTGGTGTCTCTGCCCTCAGGATGGTGAAGGTAACTGGGGTGGAAAGGCTGGTGCAGGGATCCTGGCCAGCTGAAGTTCCAATCTGGAAGCTGCCCCCACCAAATATGGTGAGGAAGGTGAGCCAAGATGGAGGCAGCCTGCTTCCATTGCCGGGATATTGGATGGGGTGGGGAAGGCCAGGCAATGGCATCATGCTGAGGGTAGGTAGCAGCTAAGTGTCATGCATGGGAGCAGAATGAAGTCTAGGAGTTCTGCAGGTGCTGATAGGTGATCTGCTAAGGTACTCAGGAGCCCTGTGCTGACTAGAACTTCGGGAGTTGGGTCACTTTATTTCTTGAAAGATATTTTCACTGGGTATATAATTCTTGGTTGACATTTATTTCCTTATAATACATTGAAGATATTATTTCTTTCTCTTCAGTCTTAAATAATTGTTGAAAAGTCAGTCTTTAATTACTTTGGGGACAAGCAACCTGCTTTTATTTTGGTTTTTAAGATCTTTTGGGATCTTTGATACAATTTCACCATGTTGGATCTGAATGTGAAAATATTTTGAATAGTTTATCCTGTGAGAGACATTGGACTTGCTAGGTTTTAAGATTAATATCTTTGGTAATTTTTACTCATTCTCTTTTAAAATGTTGAATCTTCTTTTGTCTCCTTCTGGAACACCATTAAATTTGTTAGACCTTACTCTATAATCTATATTTTTTAATATCTTTTT